TCCCTAGCCCCATCACTTCTACGGAAAAAACTTCTCATCTCACAGGTTTGAAACAATAACTGTATTAAGTTTTTATAGCCAGCAGTTATGCAAAGACCTGATCAAATCTTATAACTGTTCCCTTTGGCGTTATCAGTCTAGAAATATTTTTTGTCAGGCAGAAAAATGCAACATGTGATGTTTTTCCACAGGCTTGAGTTGCTGGTGCCAAAATAAAATAGTTTTAACAGTTTAAGAAGGTGATAATAGGAACTGGTGAAGGATAAGGAAAAAAAAAATGTAATATATTATCTCAGGAGAACAAATATTTCACTTTGTTTCACCAAAACTCAGATAGATCCTCATAGTTCTTAGTTCCCAACAAAGCAGTGTAGGAAAAGCTGTTTTAATGCATCCAGATTTGGATTTAATGTCAGAAATTCCATACGTGGAGACCAGAATTTAAAGACAATATTGCAGATTTTCAAGAAGCATTACTACAATGCTACCAATCTACTGAAATTTTTAAATTATTTTTGTGATTTCAGTCAACCTTTAAGTAGAGGAAAATTATGCAATGATTTGTACTTTACAATTTGAGGGATGTTAAAAAAAAAAAACAAAACACCCACACCAAAAAACAGTGGCAGTAAAAACCAAAACACAATGCTGTGCAACTTTCCACGCCAATCGGGAAGCACATTTTGCCCTTTCTAGAACTTGACACCTTTAATATAATAGACTTGCCTGGTTGTCTAGAACATATTTGCATGCAAATGTTAGAAAAAAATGTTTTAACTGTAAATTTTTGAGTCTCACAACCAATAGTTACAACCTGTTGGACTTCTGCTGCTGTGCTCCTGAAAAGTTCAATGTAACGTTTTCCAAGTATTTCTTTGTGCTTTTTAAGTGCATTCTGTGCATATTCTTCACAGGAAAATAACACAAATGCATCTCCTGTGGGCCTGCCATCTGGGTACTTGACAAAAAGAAGTCCTTCTTTCCCTCCTGTCACTGGGCACTCTGGCCCCAGGAAGCCCAAGACATCCTCCTGAGTAGCAGTGAAAGGAAGGCCTCTCATCCGGATGATAACTTGATTCTCCTTAGACAAGAACTGGGCCACTTCATTGGAGGTGCCTGGTAGAAGTATAACAACATATGGTCAGCCAACAGCATATGGTCATGCTGGTCAGTCAATTCCATAGAACGCAGGAGTGGCAAAGCATTAAGGAGCAATATAGGAGGTAAGTAGCTAGCAACAAAGCCACAGAAGACCCAAGGCACTACTAACTCCCAGTAATTTGCTTTGAAGTGAAACTCCCTTAACCTGAAATTGTTTCATATTTTAACGAAACTGGAACAAAGATGAGATTAGTGTGAACTTATACGAGGTACACAGATGCTTCCACTGCAAAGGCTCATCTTCCTTCCAAACAGCAAGACCTGTCTGTGAACATCAGAGCCCAAATGCTTACAGCTCAAATTCAACCATGTGAAACCAGAACTTGACAGGGTCAAGTATTCTTGGAAGGCAAAACAGGAAAAGCTACTTCATTATCCATTTGTGTCCTCAGCCAAGGAAAAAAAAAAAAAAAAAAAATCAGAACTAGAAAATCACTCCTATGAACTTCAGTAATTACACTGAACTCCAGCATCACTTACCTCCTGCAATTTTTAAGAATTCTTCTCCAGTTGCTTTGTAAACCTCAAGGAGAAAAAGAAAAAAAAAGCCACACATGAAAATGACAATATTCAACTCTAAAACATACATGCTTTCCCATATGTGAGAAAATTTGTATGTTGGTAATTTGAGGAAAACAGAAGTGCAGTTTGTTCTCATTTAAAACTGTAGTCTAAAATACTCAGGTTGATCTCCAAAGATTTGATTCAAGTCACTACTTTTTACCTCAATGTATCTGCTACCCATGTGATGCTTATGTCTTTCCAGTGCAAGATCTCTCTGTTCAGAATTGACAAACCGAACTAACGCCTCCCCATTTCTTCTTCCTTGAGCATTCAGACAAAGAGCCACACCACCTCTGGAAGGTAAAACCAACAAAAATAAACTTAGTTTGAATCTTTAATAAATTTAATAAACAATTGTGTAAGAATAGTAGAGAAATTAGACTTCATGAAATTTACAGACTGAAAAAGGAACTGCTACTATCCACAATTTAATTTATTTTTAGTGTAACATAATTATACCAAAGAATGTGCTTCAGAGAGACCTTGGATCTCACACTGTTCACAACTTTCTTTACTTCCATGCAGATATAAATTTGCAAGCCCTTCCTATCATCTCAGAGATGCAGTTTTGAATTTCCTCATACCTCTAAATAAATAAATAAAAATATATATTTTCTCAATGTTGAAAATCTGGAATAATATATTAAGTGACAGGTGTGCTAAGTTAAACCCACTTTATAAATAAATACACACATATATACACAGGGTTGTACACACATCAGTCATATGAAAATTTCTTCCTAACAGCACTTGGAGATTTCTGAATCTGGCCTGTTTAGGAGGTATAGCAGAATATTGAAGAGTTGGCACACAATTAAAGCTTATATTATAGCTTGGACTCTGCCTTGATTAATGCAGTAGGAGTTTCTCCCTTTAGGTACTAGCAATAAATGAACGTATGTTGGTTTTCAATTGCTAAGCCTCTTTTCTCCTTCACACACTTCAAAACTCTTTCTTGCACACCTAGGGCTGGTAAACCTGTTCAGTTATCATGCTCATGGGGTGGGAAGGGGCCTGGGTGGGGAAAGACAGGAAAA